ACATATGTAAAGAACAAGAGAATTGAAACAAATGTGGTTAGTATGTCGAAATTACAGAACCTATTGTTGAGCATGGAGGCTCCTTTTACTGTTTTTTATTTTTACTATTCTCTCTACTTTCCACATACATTTCAGTGGTTGTTTTTTCAACAATGGATATGCATGAACTTTTCTCCACTTCCTGCTTTTCTCTTAATTATTTTCTCTAAAATGCCTGCTCTGACTCTAAGATCAAATACATTAACATGTACTTTACCAAAAAGAAAGAATTTACAGTTATTCCCACACAGATTTTTTTTTTTTAATGATTGTGAGGATTCTCAAATCTTCCAAATGCCCTGGTAAGCCTGTAGAACTCAAAATGTGAGCTCTTAAATGATCAAATCTGCTTTGGGGGATGGAAACAAACCTTCTGAGACTGATCAACTGATAAAAAGTCTAGCAGCAAATAGCTATTTTAAAGATTAGGAACCATTTAAACACACACACACATACACACACAGTAGTGCCTGTGTTTTAAATGTTAAGTGGAAGAGACTGGCTTTATTTCTAAAGTTTCATACAATGATCATGTAGGCAAGCAAGCAGGGCAGAGTTCTACATACCGAGGAGCTGACTCAGAAGGACCGGTTCCACATTCCTTAATTAGCAGCATTAGAAAGCTCCACTTCCGGTGGCAAGTTCCCATTTCATCCTGAGACCCAGAGGGCTCAGACACACATACACGCACACTCCTCTCCAAGTCTGGATACCTCCGCAGCGCTTCTTAGTTTATTTTGTTTTGTTCTGTTTTGTTGTGTTTTTTTTTCTATTATTTTCTTACTCTCCCTACTCTTAATGTTCACAGGGTATTGCTACAGTTAAGAAATGGAGATCAGACTATGTACATTCTTTACCTCCAGGCAGAAGGAGCCAAGATAGGCAAGTCTGTAACCAACTTGAAAAGACAGCTTTCTTGATTATTCATAGGCAAGATTCAATGTCCTGGGCCAGAAGTTTCTTTTTTTAGTACCAATTACTAAGATTAAATTCATGATCTGTATTAGAGTTCTCTGGCAGAACTCATACAGGACCAAAGATCTTGAGGATGATTTCCAAACCAGACCACCCAGCTCTCCCAAGTAGTGTATTTGTGCAGGTTTGAAAATTCAGTAAGAGAGCCACCGAAAACTTAATCAAAACATTGGATAGTGGATAAGGGCAAGGGTTATTTCCTTTAAACTGCATAAGTCTTAAAGACATGTACAAGAACTCTAAAAAGGCAATTCGCAGATGACAGTTTCTTTTATAAACTATTTACTAAAAGATTCTCAAAAGTTGAAGGCTCACAAATCTATTCTCCTATATACATGGTTCCATTTTCCTTATTTATGTACTCACTTATTTAATTATTTAATGCAGGTAAGTGGGGCTTGAACTCAGGACTTAGGTGCTACTCTTGAACTCTTTTTTGGTTTTTTGTTTTTTGCTCAAGGCTCATACTCTAGCATGTAAGCCAAAGCTCCACTTCCAGGGTTTTGCAGGTTAATTAGAGATAAGAGTGTCTTGGATTTTTCTGCCCAGACTGGCTTCAAACTTGGATCTAAAGGTCTTAGCACCTGAGTAGCTTTACAGGTGTGAGTAGGATTACAGGTATGACCGACCCATACCCGCCCCCTCTTATTTTCTTACTTATTTACAGACAAACTCTTTCCATATTCCAGTCTTTCTACAGAGTCCATAACTCCTAATACTCCTGCCTCTACCCCCCAAGTGCTGGAATTATAAGTGTGCCCCACCACAACTAGGCTCTCTTTCCCCCATTCAATCCTGTCTTCTTTAAGTTATATGTTTTCAAAGAATTCTTCCCTTGGACCATCAGCTTGACAGTTATATCCAGTTTTCCATTAAGTACTTTAATTAAGAGGATACTTAAAGCCCAGAGGCCAAAAAAAAAAAAAAGTAAAAGCTCAAAGCCTCAGGGTTCAGGGGAAGGAAGAAGTTAGAAAGAATAATAGGCCTGAGGTAGGAGGTCCTGAGTTCAATCCCCAGTATGAATTTTTAAAAAGAAAGAGAAAGTAACACAGGAGTACAAACAGTTGAAATGTATGTTATGCTTGTATGGAAATGTAACAATGGAAACCCTAACACTGTATAATTAATATATGCTAATAAAAACGTGGGGAACTTTTTTGTTTGGTTGGTTGGTTTTTTTATGTTTTTTTTTTTTTTATTGTGAAAATACCGTACAGAGGGGTTACAATTACAGGAGCAAGGTAATGAGCATTGTTGCTTTTTTATCAAGCATTTTTATCAAGCATTGTTGCCTCCTCCTTTGTTTCCCCTCACAGGAACTTTTTTTTTTTAAAGGTTGTAGCTTAAGTGGTAGAACACTTGTCTAGCAAACACAAGGCTCTGAGTTCAAAGCCTGGTACTGCTAAAAATAAAAATAAAAATCCCAAAGGCTTAGCCCACAAGAAAGCAAAGCAAATATTTCCTCAGTGGCAAACTGATCTAAGAGGGGAAAAAAAGAAGCATATTTATGGGTTCTATTTCTTCCCAAGACTTGGGCATCTGAGAATTTGTGAGA